TTGGTTGAATATATATATAATTTATTGTTATTTTAAAAATAATTAGGTTAGAACTAGAATTAATTAGTCTAACTATTGCATATATAATTTTTGAAGTGTGTTAAAATACGTCATAGTGTATTGAACCCGAGGGGTCGGAGACCTCCGAAAATTGAGGAGAACTAAAGTTGGTTCAATGTTCTATGATAGAGTTGGGAGGACGAGCTTAAGATTTAATTTTGTTGTAGTGTCCAAAAAAATTGTTGATCTAGGTGTATGTAAATTGATTATTGGTTGATTTAATTTATTGTTTATGTGATCATTTGGAGTATTTTTTAATTGAAAAATATGCAATTTATAGGAGAGACTTTGTCGAAATTTTATTAGATGTTTTAAAAAATTATTAATTAAATAATTTTTTGCTACCTCAAAACTTTTAGATGTGTTGAATTTTCTTATTTTAAACTTAATTTGGTAAGACTTAAAATTAATTAAGTTAATTCAATTTATATTTAATTAATTAATTATGTTAATTATGTTTAATTGGTTGAATTATAATATATATATATATAATTTATTGTTATTTTAAAAATGATTAGGTTAGAATTAGAATTAATTAGTTTAATTATTTTGTATATAATTATTGAAATGTGTCAAAATACGTCATAGTGCATTGAACCCGAGGGGTCGGATACCTCCGGAAATTGAGGAGAACTAAAGTTAGTTCAATGTTCTACGAATAAGTCGGGAGGATGAGCTTAAGATTTAATTTTGTTGTAGTATCTAAGACAATTATTGATCTCGGTGTACGTAAATTGATTGTTGGTTGATTTAATTTATTGTTTGTGTGATCATTTGAAGTATTTTTTAATTGAAAAATATGCAATTTATAGGAGAGACTCGTCGAAATTTTATTAGATGTTTTGAAAAATTATTAATTAAATAATTTTCTCGTTGCCTCAAAAATTTTAAATGTTTTGAATTTTGTACTAGTGGCCTTTTTAGTAATAAAAGAATATCAAATTTATAGATTTTAGTTTGTTTTGATTCATAATAACTTGTAATATAATTTTCGATCAAATTGTTATTCATTTTGTAAACCGATTCGGATGTTATTCTTGACTTCTACCTTATGGATTGGAGAGATCCGGTTGTCGTGTCGGTATCATGACTCGATGTTGATCATGCGATTGATAGTGACTGTGTAATCGGACGTGACACTCGCTAGTACAACTATTCATGGGCACGGACTTGATATTGGTGTCGGCATGTCCTCATCCCCTCTAATAGTGCCCTTGTCGGTTATGCCTCTATCGGTAGTGCCCCATGTTATGGATGATCCCACTACGATTTTCTCAACTCAACGAAACTCTACTCGGATCTAATGATGGACAAACCATTAGGGTTATGAATAACTCGGTAAGTAAAATGTTTTACATGCGATAATTAGTTTTATATTTTTATATATTATATTGAAATCATTAATTCACTTATTTATTATTTATTTGTTTTATTCGACGAGTTTAATTCCATCAAGCAAGTGCTTCACAAAAATCATCGTAATTTTTAAAAGAGCGATTGGACATCGCCGGCTTTACATTAAAGTTTGTCTTCATGGAGACAAAAGACTTTTACTTTAATGAGCTTATTATAACATATTAATTATTTATTTATATTTTATTTAAAGTGTTAATTTAACATGAAAACTATTAATATTTTTTTCATGTATAAATACTTTTTATGGGATGCAACTCGTCAATGCACGGATTAAGGATGTGTGAGAGAGTTTGGCATAAAGGCGGTATAATGACATGCTTAACAAGCTGAAACATAAGAATAACAAATTTGTATTTATTAAACACAAGGTATGGGAAGTATGGCATCGGGATTGGGCCACTTTCGAGTATCGTGTCTAATCTCGGTATGAGTCTCATAATCGCATGTCGAAGATGGATGGTGTTAATGTTGGCCCATCTAAGAACTAGAAGGTCCATTTCTTTCATCGAGCATGTCGAGCATTTAGTAAATTCTATATTATCCATTATGTTGTAAATTAATTTTTACATTTATTTTATCTCATATTATTTTGTCTATTTTTTCAGCATAATAAATTGGATTGTAACCTAAATCCTTACAAGTCTGTTTGTGACCATTTACAAGCAAAATGATAGGGCATTCGTCGACAAGAGATTGTAGACAATAATAGTAAGATTTTATATTTTTAAAATACATACACACACACACACACACACACACATATATATATATGATTTAATATTGTCATTATTTTAATGATATAGAAGCGCTTGGAGTCAATGCAAGAAATAGTCAGTAAGGAGTGGTAGGAGGGTGATTTATGGTCTCCACATATTGATATATCCAAGATATATTTGGATGCTGAAGGGAGAAGAAGTAGAGAGTATATGACTTCAAAACTTATGTGTCCTAGTGTTACTCACTTTCCGACGCCAAGTCCTTCTTTGTCACTTCGTGATATCCCGGTGGTAATATCCAAGAGGTTTATCTCCAATAAGAAGATAAGATCAAAAGGATAGAGGCAACCATCTAGCAATAGCCCAATCAAATTAGCAAGCATACGAGACTCGGTTGCAAAAAATGATGGGATTGTTACGTAACCTCTAGTAGACTAATGTCTCTCTCATCGACCCTCTCACAACCCAAGAGACAGCTTGTTCCTCTTAACACCCAACAATCGAAGATGATGCAAAAATGATACTAATGAGGACTAGATTTCAAGTTTTTGTTTTTAAAAAAAGTTTTTAATATTTTTATACACCTTAAGGCATTTATATATTTATTTTATTTTTATTAAATAATATATTATATTTTAATAAGGTGTTGTTTATAGTTTTTTATTATTACAATTGACAATATATAGTTATTGATTTTTTAAAAAATAATAAAATTAAAAATTCATTCGTTTGGCGACAAGTTTAGAAACGGAATTGCAACAATATTTAGCAACGCATACACAAATGGTCACACAATAACGATGGAATTGTGAGTATTTTTATGACTATCATTTAGCGATAAATTGTTCCGTCGCTATTTAGCGACGAATATAAGTAGAAATAGCGATGACATAGCAATGGACATGAGACCGGACAAAATACTATTGTAGATCAATTTAGCGATGGAAATTCAATAAAATAACGACGGACAATCCGTCACTAATCGTTGATGAAAAAAATTCAATCGTTAAGGAAATAGTGACCACCATGTTAGTGATGGAATTAAAATTATCTCTAATTCCTCACTCGTATATAAGATTTTTTGTAGTATAAAAATAGAAGAGGATTAAATTGTCAATTGCATATTGACTTCTATTCTACAAAAAAATTCACTTACACTAAGAAAAGAAAACTATAATCAACTCCAAGATTTTGTATTAATGAAGCAAATCCCATTCTAAAAATTAGATTAATAACATTATTGAGATCCCTTTTTAGTGGTGGTTTTGTGTTATTTTGAAGATGCTTATTTAAAAAAAAATTATTTTACAATATATGGTATCTTTATATTGTAAATCTTCTTTTCGAACGATCTCAAGAGTACATTCCTTGCATCGGTTTAATACATTCATATTTGTTTGCTAAATATCGCATTGAAATGGATGAATATGAGCGTATCCTAAGGGAAAGTTAGGTATGAGAATGTTTGAGATTTTTTTGGGAAAATTATCTGAGATGCCTTTGGCAAGTCAAGGCATCTCAAATGTTCTAAGTCATTAAATTACTTAAACAAACCTAAGAATTCAATTCCCTTCTAGAATGGAGGGAATTTGAGATGCCACTAGTTTTGACAATGTGAACTTTTTTTTTTATTATTAAATGTCTCGTCTTTTGTATTAAGTTGTCCAATATTCTTTTATTTTTATTAATAATTACTCAAATGTTTCAAGTGACTAATACACACACGATATATATATATATATATATATATATATATATGTTTCGGTGACTTTAATTGAATATCCAAATAATTAATATGTTAAGTACGTTATGGAATTTTTTGATGTATAAATTAATTTACTCGATAATAATAATTTTGTAAAAAAATAAATTTGTTGCTGGATTCATTTTAAAATATTAATTTTAAACACAAATTAATATGAGTTTTTATAATAAAAGGATAAAAATCTTATTTCCCAATCAGATATTTTAAATTTTAAGCGGTAATAGTCCAATTTGTTCTTATCTAATACGGTCAATGTTTAATTTATTCTTATATTATAAAATAAGTCAATTATATTTTTGTATTTTAAATGAATTTTCATTCTATCTTTCTATAATGAATTTTTTGGAACAAACCATAAAAAAAATCACCCGACTAGCACATGACTATTGTTTTTCAAAAACATCCCTTAGTAAAACGTTCAAGTCACAATTTATTTTAAAGGCATTTTCAAAAAAAAAAAAAAAGTCATGTATAAGTTAGGTGATTTTTTTCTATAATTTGGCTGAAGAAATTCACCATAATAGATTGAAAACTTTCTTTTATAAAAAAAAGAAAAGAAAAGAAAGAAACACAATTAAATTGACATATTATATAAGTATCTAGGCCATTTTTCTAAATTTTAAAAGCAAAATGGTAAGCCTATTTGCATTTATCGTGAAATAAGCCAAACATAATAAAAACATATTAGTACTAAAACTTTTTATTTTCAATCAAATACAAATATCATAATTATTCCAACGATTACATTCCTAGCAATTCAAAAAAAAAAAAAAAAAAAAGCATCTAAAAATCGGTAGACCAAAAGTTTGCTGATTGTTAAATAAAATTACATAAATGACACAAAGGTGCACAACCATGGACGATAAGCCGAAAACAGGGAATCCAAACAAGAGCAAAAGAAAAAGTCGAACAAATCAGCAAATCACACGGCCCCAAAACACTGAAACGCTTTCACCTTATCTCTTCATCTCCCCCATTCATCTCATCTCCAACCCTCAAAAAAACAAAACACAAAACAACTTTTGTTTCCAATCAACAAAACAATGGACAACACCACCACCAATCACCAGCCTCAACCCACCGCATACCCACCGCAACCCACCACCACAACCACCAACACCCCTCCGCCACCACCAGGAGGAGCACCATCCTCAACCCCATTCCACCACCTCCTCCAACAACAACAACAACAACTTCAAATGTTTTGGTCTTACCAACGTCAAGAAATTGAACAAGTTAATGATTTCAAGAACCATCAACTCCCTTTAGCGAGAATCAAGAAAATCATGAAAGCCGATGAAGATGTGCGCATGATCTCTGCTGAAGCACCTATTCTCTTTGCTAAAGCATGCGAGCTTTTCATTTTAGAACTGACAATTCGTTCTTGGCTTCATGCTGAGGAAAACAAGAGAAGGACTTTACAGAAGAATGACATTGCTGCAGCTATTACAAGAACTGACATTTTTGATTTCTTGGTTGATATTGTACCTAGAGATGAGATCAAAGAGGAAGCTGCTGGTCTTGGTGGAATTGTTGGTGCTACGGCTAGTGGAGTGCCTTATTATTACCCTCCGATGGGACAGCCCGCCGCTGCTACTGGAGGGATGATGATTGGAAGGCCAGCTATGGATCCTGGCACTGGTGTTTATGTTCAACCACCTTCTCAGGCTTGGCAGTCTGTTTGGCAGACAGCTGCTGCCGAGGATGGTTCTTATGGGAGTGTTGGTCCGAGTGGTGGACAAGGGAATCTTGATGGACAAGGGTATGTTTTTCATTTTTTGATGTTTTCTGTTTTCTCATTTTTCTTGTTTTGTTGTTTGGGTTCTCATTTTTAGCTACTTTTTTTTTTTTAATGGATTTGGAATGTGGATTTTGTTGTAGTGAGGTGGTTATGTAAGATGATTTCTGGGTTTTGTTCAAAGGAGAGGCTTTGGGGTCATTTGGGGGATATCTTTTATGGGGTGTTAAATTCTGTTTTTTTGAATTTTATGTCTCGGCCTGTTGTTTGGTTATTTTTGTGTAGGAGATAAATGAAACCTAGAAAAGCAGCAGTTTTTTGTGGTTTGGTGGTTCCTACTGGTTAGAATTTAGTAGATTTGGGTGTACATTTGATCTCAATGTTATGGTAAAGAAGCAATCTTTTAGCCTATTTGAGTTGAAGGCAGTTGAGTTTTGCTCAAACAGTCTGGTTTTATGCATTTTGGTTGGCATTGTTTCTAGATTTCTTTTGCATGCCCATGCTTAAAGGTGTTTGCTACTTGCTGGCACCTTGGCGGATTTTGTTTGTATGTGTAGGTTGGTTTAAGCATGCGACAATGGAGAACTTTTTGTGGATCTAATAAACAGAGGTTAACCTTTGGAGCCTGAAAAGGTATATAATGGTAGTCATAGTTGTGTTGTTATCCCTAAATCCCTTGTAGGCTACAACAAATGGATATTGTTTGTGACGAAGTATTCTATTTACATTGATGGTCCCCATAAGGAATTGTTTAAGGTTAAGAAAAGAATGGATAACGTGTCATAGGATGGATGTCGATGAGAGCTTGAGTTGTTTGATTCTCAATGCAGGTATTATGTCAATCGTTTTGATTGCAATGGATGTCTTGGGAGAGGATCAAAGAATGAAGATTCTGTTCGTTGTTAAATAAAAAATTTTCTATAACAAGAGACAAGCTTGTTCAGTTTGTCTTTAATTTGATCACACTGCTTAAGGACATTTCCATCAAAAGAGTTTTTCTTAAAAAGGGAGGGGTGTAATGTATGCTAACACGTGGGAATAACTTTACCAGCTACTAATTTTTCAACTGTAGTCTAGAATTTGACGAGTGTAAGTACGTGTTCTAAGATTAGTGAGGTTAATTTTTGTCGTTTATGCTATACGTGTGGTGTTCGTTGTGGAACAATGTTGTTTCACTTGTAGAATTTTTGTATTTGGATTTTCTGTTAATGGAATAAGAAATAGGCTGTCTTTCACAATTTGGCACACTGAGTCTGAGTAGGAGCTTGAGCGAGTAACTTAAGGCAGAAATCCCTGATTTTTGTCTATCTTCTTGTTTGGTGGTTGCATGAAATATTTTTTTCCTTATAAAATCTTAAACGCTTTTTTCAAATCTTTTTTGGTTTATAAAATCTTCAGTGTTGTTCTACTATGATTCTCTGGATAATCAGTTACATTTCCTTCTTATCATAGATCATCCTATGCATGTATGAAGAAATTAATAAGAAAATTTTCAATTTTGTCTCTTGCCATTGGTGTCACCTAAGATTGTATTTTGTTGACAATCTTCAATTTTCTCCTATCTTTGAATGGTTGTTCCATTTTCTTCCCATCATAGATCACCCAATGAAACAATAGTTTATTAGTAACTTTGGCTGGTATGTGAACTTGCTTTTACTTCTTTCACAAAATTGTATTTTAATGTCATGGCATGTGTATTTCTTTCCTTTTGACAAACGCTTGTGTGTTGTCATGAACTAGAAGAGCCTGTCTTTATGGCTGTTTCTGTTAGATGAGATGTCTTACACGTGATGTTTGGGGACAATTGAGGGCAGAGCTTTATGGGTGTTATCTTATGCTGTCTGAATTTTCTGGCCTGTTGAGCTGTTTTTGGCTATCATTATATAATAGAATGCAGTTGATTTTTGTTCAAATGATATGAATTCTGTGATTTTTCGTTGACATTGTTTCATTGATTTGTTTCACATGGCCATAAAAGTGTTGCTTCTTGTTGGCTGTTTTTTGTTCATTTATGTTAGTTGCAGTTTATGATGGTGGGCACCTTTGGTGGATTTCTTCAAATAAATTAGAAATTAGCCTCCGCGACCAGGCCTGTAAAGTATACAGTAGTCTGTCATAATTGTGTTATTATCACCTAAATCCCTTCTAGGCTACAGCAAATGGATACTACCTGCAACGTAAGTAGCCTGTATACGTTGATGGTTTTCATGGGAAGTATTTGAGGTCGTGAAAAATGGAGACACGTGGCATGATGTCACAAGCTATTGATTTTTATTTGTGTTCTGAATTTGATGAGTGAATTCCTTGGTTAATTTTTGTGATGCGAATTTCTGTTTTCCATTCTATACATGAGGTGCACTGTGTGGGACCATGCTATTTCACTTCCTGGTTTTTTTTGTATGTAGATTCTGTTAAAATTGGAATAAACAACAGGCTGTCTTTTGCTACCTTCCAGACTGAGTACCAACATACTGTGGAAATGCTTGATTTTTGTGTTCTAGTTCCCTTACTTCTTGTGTGATGATGGTTGGGTAGAAGTCTAATTTTCCTGAGAAAATCTTGATCATCTCTTTGGTTTATAAATTCTTAGATCTTATTGGACTATAATTACTCTGAATAAACGGTTCCATTTTCTTTTTACATTGATGACCAATATATATTGGAAGAACTTAATAAGGAAATTTCTCGATATTCTTTTTCTTCCTAATTGTTTCCTTTCTTGCTGTTGGTGTTTATCATAAAATTGTCTTTCATATAAAACTCCTTGATTTTGTTGTATCATCTCTGAGCTGTCGTTCCATTTTCTTCGTACCACCACCCAATAAATATATTATGTTTCTAAACGTGTATTTCTTTCCTTTTTCGCTCTTGTTTGTGTATTCCTGTGCACTACACCCCAACCTCTCTTTATGGCTGTCAGTAACTCAGTATATTGTTAAAGAAGATGCGTTATGTGCGATATGTGTTGAAGCTGTGGTATTTCTCTCTCCTCTCAAACTAGACTTATATTTCTTTGGTTCCTCTTCATCAGCCCTTCACATACAAGCTCCAGGTGCTGAATATTTTTGGTCAAGCAATGGGGATGTAAAAGCACTGAATTACTCCACTTTTCAGGCAAAATGAAATGTGCATCATAGGATGGTTCAATTTATCCTCAAAGGTCCCTGCAACTTTTATGTTAAACTCTACTTCTTAAAGTTTCAGTTTACAGACATGTCCTACCCATGACAAATGCAAAGGTTCTTATAACTTGTTAATTTTCAACTTCTCATGATTTGCTTTATTCTGTTGCCAGGGTTTTCTTTTTTGCATGTGAGGGGGCAGTCTGTTATATATTGTATCACCCATAAGAAATGCATACCTTCAATGTGATTAATTGTCTTTTGCTTATTAGAATCAGAACAACAGCTATGCCTTCTTTTATTCATAGATCAAAATTGTCTCCTGAACATCAATGATTGAAGCCCCCACTTTTTCTTCATAAGCCTTGATCGTGCTTTACGTTCGTTTGCTATTTAGACTATTTATTATAAACTTGGTGGAAAAGAAAAAAAAAGAAAAAGAATTATTACATAACAGATTCGATCTAAAATGGCAAGAATTATTGCATAAACGATGCATATTTTTTTTGTTTATGCTTCTTTCTGACATTTATTGCGACAGCATGAGTTTGTGAAATTATACAGGTGATTCTTATGTTTTCAAATTCCGGATCTGATTATTCTTATTCAACATGTCAAACCATTGTCTCCTTTGATACTCCCTCCCTTCTGCTATTTCTTTTAGCTTCGTCTGGCTGTTGTTGTGACTTGTTATAAAGTCAATGAAAGAGAGAAATGGCTATGCTTTGTTATTCTTCCCATTTAATGTCATCTGATGTCTGACCATTGCTTTCCCTCTGATTGTCCAACTATTTTTCCTTGGTTCTTTTTCTGCAGTTAAGCTTGTCAGATGCAGCGGTTATTCAGTGGTGCAAGAGAAGGCAAATATGGACCTTGGCTGATATTACTGGAATTTTGAGTGCATATGATCTCTAAATGTACTTGCTTGCTATTGTTTAAGAAAGCTGTCTGTAGCTGTTAGAGACTTCTTCTTAAACTTTTTAACTTCATTGTATGGCAGCTCTACAATTGCTGCTATAACTTGCCTAACTATATCTGATGTGCAGTTTCATAATTTATGATCTATTTGTTATTGATTTGATTGGTTCTATCTCATCATATGCTGCCATTTGAATGTCAGTCCTGAGATTTACTTTTTATTTGATTTTGTTTCATATTGGATAGAAGACATGAAAACTGGCCCCATAGTTTTCTATCTATTTTCGATTGTATAAGGATTAATCTTTATTGCAAAATTTTTTGGTCCCATTGAACAATTTGTTGAATGTCAGAAATCAATATTTCTCATTTTTTATATATTAACTATTGTTTATTTATAATAAAAAAAATTTCTACTTTAGGGGTTAAATTGCGTATATCAAAAAATTAAAAGAACAAAACTTTTGCATTAATGACCAAAATGTAATGAAATTTAAATATAGGGACTAAAATGAATTGTTGAAATTCAAAGGAATCAAAATGAATTTTTACAAAAACTTTGTCTACTCCAAACATGTGCTTGTCAATAAAAATTGTCCTGTCCAGTCTAGTCTATTTCTCTTTGTCCTGTCCTTTCCAGTGTACCGAACACAATTCAATCTCATCTATTGTTAAGTCTTGTCTAGCATATCAAATACTGTTAAATATAAGATAAGAACATGTGTTTTTGGAGTGCAATCTAATCTTATTTACTATCTAGTCATGTTTAATTCAATTGAGCATCACAACTTTAGGTTTAATCTTAGCTAATGTGGATTGGTTGGAATCTCTAATTCTTAGTAAGCAACCCAACACCAGAGTTGCAGTTCCAAGCTCACTTATTAGGGGAAAACAAGTTATTTCTAGTGAGTCCTTTCTTTTGCTATTTTTCAAACATATAATATGTATTTTACATGAAAGAACAATAAATTTATATATAAAAAATAAAGAATATGAAATGAAATAATTAAAATATAAAAACAATATTATATTTTAAAGCATGTCTGATACTCCCAAC